AGTTTGTTACGAAGCGACACGATTATAGGTAATTTTATTTTTGCATAGTTCTATATTTTTGAAATTTTCTATGATACATATTATTTTGTAGTTGTATTTTTGAGTTACTAAAACAATTTTATTGATGATAAAATTATATAAAGCTGAACACACACAGGCCTGCATAGGCGCGCACAAGTACAAGTAAAACTGGGGAAATCGAAATAACAGCTGGACTGCACCAGCGCCAACACCCCGGCGGAGATATCCTGCTGCAGCTTTGCAAAATGTTGCTGGGCAGACTGAACGAGGCTCTCGCTGCACTGTTTCTTAAAAATGCATTGGACCTACCATCATATCCATTTTAAAAAACTGTATTCCACAAAGAGATTTTATTATACTTTCTACTTTTTCTGAAGTAAAGCACTGGAGTCATTCCTATTCAAGTCAGGGACAGCACGAGGGTGCCCACGATCACATCATTCAACAATGTCCCATGGTCTTAGTCAATAAGAAAAAAATGTTATGACATATAACGAAAAAAGCAAACAAAAATACCACTATTTAAAGATGGTATGACTGCCAATCTAGAACATGGAGAATCAATCAAGAGGTTCTGTCAGATTAACAGAGTTCAGAAAGCTAGCTGGATCGAAATCAATATAGAAGAATCTATAGCTTCCTATCTTACCAGCAGGATATCGCTCCCTCATTTTTATGCCACTACATAATACTTTTTTGCTATCAATTTATTCTTTGCTGACATCAAGAATAAGGTAGGGAAATAAAGACATGGTGGGCAACACGTCAGGAAAAACGGCTAAAATACTGCAGGCAGCATGAGAAGCAGTGTGGGGGGTCAGCTCAGTCTCCTGTGTGCAGGTGCGCTTTGTGAAACAGCGACAGGTGTCAGGGCTGGGAGGGGCCAGGAATCACTGTTAACACAGCCCACGCCCATGCTACCTCTTGGTCTCTAAACAGACGTGAACGAATAGGGGTCTTGCTTACCATCTTGCCGCTGACCGTGGCCTCCAGGGAATCCACCAGCTCTGCCGTGACCCCGATGAGGTTGTGGTAGTCCGCCTGGATCTTATTGTACCGTTTCAGGTAAGTCATCGACCTGCGCTCAGCTTCTACCAGCTGCTGGTGGAGCTGCTGCAACGTTTCTAGGAAGACAATTTATATTTATGTTATGTCAAAAAACCCCACGAAATAAAAAATAATTAATACTATGTCTATGATCATAAATATTTTGTTGTGACAATGAACTCGGCGCTGTTTGTGTTTCACACTTTATGTCATACTACATTTAGTTACAAAGTGCTTAGTAATCACTGATTTTTTTTTTTTATGTCTTATAAAACTGAATCATCTCTGGTTTTCCTAACAAAATCTATTTCCTTGACCAAATCCCATGCAATTTCTTTTAGTTCTTCTCTTTATGAACAAGAAACAAACAACATTTCTTTTTATAATCAGATCACAAAATAGTTGAACCAAACCTGCAGCGTCTTCTGTTTTTGCCCTAGGAGGCCGTTTGGGGAACAATTCGTAACCACAGGACGGTTCTTCGTTTTGAGTAAATGTTGGGGCTGCTTGACTGACGCTGGAGAAAACTAGAATTTAGAAGATTCCAGGCGCTCCTTCTGCCAGTTTGATAAAGCATAAACCACCCCACTGGGCCTTTGGGCAGGCAGCTTGGGAAGGTTCTAGCCTCTTAGAATCCCCACCGCGTCCTCCCATGGGCAGCACTCGATGGCCAAGCTTGATTCTGCAAGATAACATTCTGATTAAGGAATACTCTGCGCTGAAGAACTTAGGGATAAAGGGCCATAGTGGATATAATATGTCCTTGAATGGTTCAGAAAACAGACCGTGTGTGTAGAGAAAGTAAACAAACAAACGAACAAACGGGTACACTGCCAACGTTCTGTGAATGTGGCTAAAGCACATGCAAGTGTCCTTTGTGCTATTTTTGTAACTTTTCTGTGCTTGAAATTATTCCAAGAGTTAAAAAAGAAAAAAAAAGAAGCCCCTTACCTTAGACTACACAATTTCCAATGTGGCAGTTACTTTAAAAATAAAATAAAGTTTCATTCGTTTCCTATTGATTTGCTCATTGGTTCCAGCCCTTGGTCCCCCATCGAGCCCCTCCAAAGGGAAGAGCGACCTCCTCCCCCACCCCCACCCCAGGAGGCTGTCTTCCAGCAGCTCACTCTTCAAAACATCTCTCTCTACCTTCTGGGACTTTACAGACACCTCTGAAATGTCAATGTCATTTTCTCCTGGTCTTTCATGTTTTCAGGTCCTTTAAATTGGGGGCGCGGGGCGGGGGGGCAGACCATGGGCACAGAGCCTCACCGTCCCGGGCCTCGTGAAGTCCACGCTGTGCGCCAGGCTCTGCCGCATCTGGTTACTGAAGAGGCGGGCGCAGACGCTCTGCAGGTACTCCGGGGTGATCTGCAAGGGGGGCACGAGGACGGCCGGTGAGAGGCTCACCCAGAGACGGCTGGGGCGCCCCGGCATGCGCGAGAGCTCCCTCTCAACAGGCTGTCTGCAAGGCGCGGAGATGAAACTTACTCTGTCGTCAGAACTCGGGATTCCAAGCACTGAGCCCGACAGAAAAAACAGCTATCATGACTCCAGGTCTGATCGTGCGAATCGCACTTTAAATTACAGAATTCCACTGGATGGACTCCCACTGCCATGTACAATAAACTGATTTTAAACCGCTTTGTTGTTCCTAATTCAGGGGATGAAGTCACCGTAGTGCAAAGGACTCTGGGCTTAAAATCAGAAGATCTGGTCTCAAGCCGTGGACTCCTGAGAAGACCGACAGCTCTGCCTCTTGCCCTCACGGCCTGTCGAGCGGAACGAACAGCGCCCGTCTCTGGGTCGTGGCGAGTGGGGACAAAGAGATCACAGATATGCCCAGCACATGACAGTGGCTTGGTAAATGCTTACTGAACGACTGAGAGCCATTTTTATAAATTATCAAGCGCTTGACAGCGCGAGGCTGAATTATTATGCCCATCGACGCTACTGTATTACGGAGTTTTCCTTTACCGTCTCTCGTAACTCTCTCGTGAGCGACTGTGATTCAGGATTGACACATGACGTCTAAAGCAGTAATCTAAAATTTTTTGCTTTCCACTTTTTAATAAATAATACATATGCTTAAAATGTCCAAGAGTCAACGCCGCCGCTCCCCAGCAACCCACCCTGGAGGTGACTATCATGAACAGCTGTGCGTCCCTCCAGACTTCGGTCTGCGCCTGATTGTTTAAGGGGACGTCCTTTCCCTCGGCCTCGGGCTTCCCCGTAGTGAACTTCCTCCCCCTCCCCCTCACTCCCTGGTCCCCCTGACAGCAGGACCGCTCTAGGGACTGGTGGACTGGAAAGGGCTGGGAATGCGGGACTAGTCCCTGGCCATCTCTCGACACTCAGGTATAAGCAACTCAGACAGAGAAGGGCCCCATCACGAGGCTGCGCCTCCTACAGTATCCCGAGTCCATTTCTTCCTATAGTATCAAAATTTAAACGTTCCTTTTCATTCTGTATTTTTAACCTTTCCTTTTACACCTGTTCCTTCCCTACAACCTATAAACGTGTTCAAATATATTTCATATTAAAAAAAGTATCTTCCCCTTTGTCTCCCCTGGGTCTTCGTCTGTCGACCGCCCTCTCAATATTCCTCCTTCATAGCCAAGGTCCTTGAAAGGACCCACTGCTGCTGCCTCCCTGCCCTTCGCCCTCCAGCACGCTGGGATCGAAATTCCTCTGTGCCGCTCCACAGCAGCTCACGTGGCACGGGCACCGATGCCTTCTGAACGTCAAAAACTTAGACACTTTTCAGTCCTGCTTTTCTAGAGTCTTCTGCGGCTTTTGAGGCTTTGGGTCAACCCCTCATTCCTGAACGGTCCCTTCTTTTGCCAGCAGAACCACTTCTCTAAGAAGGAAACTGAGCAAAGGGCATGTATACACAGTTGACTAAAACGCAAAATATAAATGGCCAATAAACACATG